AGACGCAACCTCCATAGTGCACGAATGGAGACTTGGGGCTACTACCACATACAAACACCATTCATGTGCAATGTGTAGTTTTGGCTGAAAAGTGAAATATAGGGACACACACGTCCATTTTTATATATATACTAGCTGCAAAGACCCGCTTCGCTCGGTTTTTATTTGTATGTAATATAGTTTTTTTATATATATAAAAGACTGTTTTTCTAAGTAATCTAGAATCTAGCTGCAAGGACCCGCTTCACTGGGCAAAAAGTAACGATAGTGAAGATTAAGATAATTACAATATAGCTAATCTTACCCATTTTCACAGAATGCAAGAATTAGGTCCCCCGTTTCCAGACTAATTAGAGAATTTTTACGTTTAGTCAAACGAACTATTTTCAACGTTTCTAGAATGTTTACAATCGTTCTATAATCAAACCAATATTCAAATTTTATGTTTGAATTAAATTCGAACAAATTCAAACAAAACATTCGAAATAGAAAGCCACTTTCAACTACTTTCAGCCTCATATCTCCCGCACCCTTATATAAACACCATTCACGTGTGATGTGTAGTTTTGGTGGAAAAGTGAAATATAGAGACATACATGTCCATTTATATATATATATATATTAATAAATTTCAGATATCAAATATTTTAATTAAATAAGTAAAAGTAATTGTTACAAATTACAGTTAATAACAAATGATCTAAACTACCATATTATATTAGGCTATTATTATTATTACCAATATTAAAATACTTAATTAGGCCTAAAAATAGGCCATCACCTTTATCTTTGGCAGTTAGTAATCCAGTAGTTTATGATTTTTAGCTATTTAGATATATTAGGTTATGTTTATGTTTATATCTTTGTATGTTATTGTATATATATGATGTATACATAATTATACATTTCCTTAATTCTAAGGTGCAGTTTTTAACCATTTTTACTTGTATGGAGTAAAAGTGTTTTAGAATCAATCAGATGTTCACTGACGACGATATCAGCTAAATGTTTCACATAATTTTACAAGTTAACTGATGATAAGCAAAGTTGAGAAAATTATCATCTAGGCGTTAATAACCAACATCTATCACTACAAACAACAAGTGCTTTCAACGAAACTATTTTCGTCTTCTTCAGGTTAAAAGAATACTAGCTGCTCATTTAATATCCTTCAAATTCAAATTACAGCAACGGCAAACCAGCATTGGAATAAAATCGAAATAGAACTAAAATGGAGAATTTAAAAGATGCGCGCTCTGTGCCGACACACATGAGCAATAGATTATTTTGCGAGAATGCAGAGCTAGCGATGTTGTTTTAATCTGTTGTATAAGTTGATCCACAAGGAAGGCACATCCAGCGTGGGGGTGTTGCATGGATTTAGCACGCTGGTAAACAGCGCCTCCCATATATACAAGATGTTGATTACTCATGAGGCATGTTGAGCAAAGAGTGTTTAGCTTCCCCCTCACCATAGCATACCCACTATTATATCTTAGATACGTGGACGATATCATAGTAGCCTGGCAACACACGGAAGAGGAGTTCCATATCCTCAAAAATTTTCTTATGGAGGTTTATTCTACCATCAAGTTTACCTGAGAAAAGGAAAAGGGAGGAGAAATTGCGTTTTTAGATCTAAAGATCTCCAAAGCCCAGGGTGCGATAGTGTTCTCCGTGTTCCATAAGTTCAACAGCATACCTCCTTTAATCCCTGCCACCACATACCAGCCACAACACTACGTCAATGCAGCTATCGCCCCTCTAATTAGAAGGGCCTTTTTGTTGTCTTCCAATCAAGCTCTTGTCAACATCGAGCTTGAAGCTATAAGTGTAGCAGTAAGTGCGGCGGGTTACGCTAGATCTAAGTACAGGTACATCCTTAGAAAGGTTAAAGGATCTCTATTTCCTGACACAACTTTACAGGCCTCAGAAGAATGTACGATAATCCAGCCACCATTACCATTCTGTGGCCATATTACCGGCCGCGTTTGCCGTATTTTTAGGCAGCATGCACTCTTCCTGCCAGTATCGCCGCAGCCAAACCTTAGAAGAGTGTTATGCAATGACAGGGATCCTTTGTCTGTGCTAGAGCAGTCTGGAGTGTATTCCATCCTATTGGAAAGTACAACATCTGGTACTCATACCCAGTATATCGGAGCGACATCCAGAATGTTGTCTTGCTGCATTTCTGAACACAAACAATCTATTAGTACGGGTAGATGCGACACTGAGTTGGCAAGATTGGTGTTGCAACACCAATACACTCCGAGGTGGGACCAGGTGGGGATACTCAAACAGTGTGATAGCAGAAACATCTTGTATATATGGGAGGCGCTGTTTACCAGTGTGCTAAATCCATGCAACACCCCCACACTGGATGTGCTTTCCTTGTGGGTCAACTTATACAACAGATTAAAACAATGTAGCTAGCTCCACATTCTCGCAAAATAATCTATTGCTCATGTGCGTCGGCACCGAGCGTGCATCTTTTAAATTCTCCGTTTTTAGTTCTATTTCGATTTTATTCCAATGCTTGTTTGCCGTTGCTGTAATTTGAATTTGAAGGATATTAACTGTTCTTTTAACCTGAAGAAGACGAAAATAGTTTCGTTGAAAGCTCTTGTTGTTTGTAGCGATAGATGTTGGTTATTAACGCCTAGATGATAATTTTCTCGACTTTGCTTATCCAATATTCGGCGTGAAGTCCAATAATATTTTTTCACTTTTAACTGATGATATTCAATGATGATATCATCATTGAATATTTTGTGAAGGAAGACTGCTTTGTTCCTGGACATGAAGAAGAAGACAACTTGGTTTCTTCTATATTTTTTAAATTCTAAAATAAACTTGAATGTCCAACTGTTGGTAGGTCTAACAGTTTTATTCGTGAGATGACTAACATGAAGCAAGCTGCCACTACCATCACCATTAATCTGAATCTCTGTTAGTTGGAGTTGGTCAGTCTATGAATGCTAAATTGCCACTCTAGGACTTGGATGCAAAAATGAAAGAAGCCTCATGACACCAAGAACAGATAGATGCAAATCTCCTATACATGAACTCAGAAAACATTTGCTATAATGACAATTTTTATGTAAAATGACAAATTTTAAATGAGATCATTAACTGAATTTTAATTGAATAAAACCATCAATTTCAACGGGTTCCTGCTAATAAAGTCTAATCTAAAAAACACTCCATATCAAACTTGAAATGCAAACTGTATCTCTCTCAACAGCAAAAAAATTTTAATACAGTTTAACATTAGAAAGAAAATAGTGATATAAAATAAATACTCTCCAAATCAATCCCTATCAATTTTAAACAGTTAAACTAGTAACCAAAAAAACTGATTTTCATTTTTTAAAAATAAAAATAAATTTTTATTGTCAGGAGACAACTATTCTCCACTCTTCCTGAAAATTTATACTAAAGAATTATTTGTATTCCTAGGATAACAGAAAAACTCAAAAGCCCTTGGAAGAATGTTTTAATAATAAGTAATACTCTAATAAAGCATGATTTTTTGTGAGTTTTTATGTTTGATCTAACCCCTGAAAGATTTCTTATAGATTAAAAATAAATTATTATTATAAACTACATTTTTAAAAATTTAATTCTTATTCTTATAATTTATATTAAAACATTCAATAATTTTAGTTTTATATTATTATAATATTTACTTCAAATGAATAAAAATTGATTTAAAAAATAAATTAGATAATAAAAATATAATTAATATATTTTTTATTTACCTTTTACATTCTGCATAACTATGGAGGAAAATTCTAGGAATGTTACTAAAAGATTTGATGGTGGTGTATGAACAGTACTTACATCAACTGCTGAAGGGTCTAAAAAATTAAAATTAATTTGAAAAAAATCATAAATATATAAAAATCTATCATTTTAAAACCTTTACTGAAAATAAAATCAATAAACAAAATAAAAAAGATTAATATGGTCAGTCCCTGACTTACAAACATTCATACTTATGAAAGCTAAAACTAATGTATTAAAAAATCATTTAAGTCTAAGCAGTCAGTTGCATGCAATAATAGCACAGTACAACAAATAAAACTTAAATGTAAAACTGTAATAGACAATAAACATGTTCTACATAACAATAACTATTAAATTTACAGGTATACTTCGACTTACGTCATTTCAAGTTACGTCGTTCCCGATTATACATCATTTGTCAAAAAAGTATATGGAAAAATGAAAATCAAGTTTAAGTCATTTTATTCGACTTTACGTCTGTCCGCCACAAATATTGAAGTCGTAATATCACTAGAAAAGCATTTAAAGCACATAAAATCATATTAAAATACAGTCGACCCCCTATAACGCGGTAGATACGTTCCGCATTATAAGAATTTCGCGTCATAGGAATCCTTAAATACGTGAGCCAATCACAGCCCGTCACGTGTGCAGTTTACGGACTATGACTGTTTGAAAGGTTTTCTTCCATAAAATTAATCGATTCCAGACTAATTTGACTCAAAATTTCCAAATTACATTTAATTTTTTGGGAATAATCCGTATAAACTATACTATAAACAAATAATTGTAGGATTATTTACCAAGTGTGCACTGTTCGACGATGCCATTACTTAAGCTTGTTTTTGTCGCAGAGCAGCGCACCAAATGGCGGCCACGTTTTCTGATAAGTTATTTTTCTGCGAAAAATTCGTTGAACTTTGGAGACATCATTAATAGAAATAATTTTTATGGCCGTTGAATAAGAAATGTTTTTTTCACAAGAAATGTATAAAATTACAGTACTGTATTAGACTTACAAATATATATAATTTATATATACAAACCTATATTTATATATATAAACCTAATTTATATATAATTCA